CAACAAATTGTCGCTGTTTTTTTGTGTTGAATATATGCTGTATGGTGATTTATGGACCTAATAGGTAACTCAAGCCATTTGCACATAACAAAACACTGTTGCTGTATGTAGGTTTTATTTTGTTTTTTATCTTATATTATATTTTGGAAATGTACACCCAGTTTTTTTTCCCTTTAAATTTTTTGGGGGCCCTAAGAGAGTGGGGCCCTAAGCTATAGCTTGTTTAGCTTATACGTAAATCTGGCACTGGCTGCCTTGGAACACATAAAGTAAAGGGTGGCAAAACACACACACACACACACACACACACCCCTCCTGATACTCTGCATTAGCTAGTCATGACAGTATCTCACTTTTCTCTTACTAAGCTAATGTCATCTCTGGCAATGACCAGCCTATACTTTCTGTTATTTCCTAACCTAAACCCAGATAATGGGTCTTAGGAGAACAAAGGAACCTAAGAAGAGCTTTCTGGGTCAGGTCAAAGGACCCAACAAGCCCAGCCGTCTGTTCCCACAGTAGCTGGCCAGATAAAGATGGCAAACCCACAAAGAAGAACTGAGAACATCAGCACTCTCCCTACTTCAGCAACTAGTATTCAGAGGCATTCTGCCTCTAACAGTACTATTTACATTTTATTTTATTTTTTGCCTTGATGTGCATCACTTTCTGGCATTGAATTGCACTTGCTATTTTACTGCCCGTTCACTCAGCTTGGAGAGACCTTTTCAAAGCTCTTCACAACTGCATTTTATTGTAGTATCATGTAGACTCCTTTGCGATTTTGATGCATGTGTAGTTTCATTTATATACCAAATATAATAGTATATGATGATGGTGGAATTCACTGCCAGGTATGGTGATGGCTATTAGCATAGAGGGAGGGAGGGAGGGAGGGAGGGAGGGAGGGAGACTAAAACAGCAGTAGAGAACCTGTGACCTCCCAGATGTTACAGTATTGTGACTCCCATTGTCTTGACCATTGGCCATGCTTCCTGGGGCTGATGGGAACTGGAGTCATAGAATCATAGAACTGTAGAGTTGGAAGGGACCCCGAGGATCATCCAGTCTAACCCCCTTGCAATGCAGGAATAGGCAACTGTCTTGTATGGTGATTGAACCTGCAACCTTGGCAATATCAGCTCCACACTCTATAAGCAACATCATCTGGAAGCTCACAATCACCCTCTTCCGCAGATCAGGATTCAACAAATTAATGGAAGTGGTCTATCAATGCTTAGTAGCCATGATCACGGACCACTCTGGGGTTGTGGCGCTCATCTCGCTTTATTGGCCGAGGGAGCCGGCGTACAGCTTCTGGGTCATGTGGCCAGCATGACTAAGCTGCTTCTGGCGAACCAGAGCAGTGCACGGAAATGCTGTTTACCTTCCCGCTGGAGCGGTACCTATTTATCTACTTGCACTTGATGTGCTTTTGAACTGCTAGGTGGGCAGGAGCTGGGACCGAACAACAGGAGCTCACCCTGTTGCAGGGATTTGAACCACCGACCTTCTGAGCGGCAAGCCCTAGGCTCTGTGGTTTAGACCACAGTGCCACCCGCGTCCCTAGTAGCCACGATAGCGAAGTGGAAAATTCAGAGATAGCATGCTTCTGAATATTAGTTGCAGTGAAAAGCTAAAAACCCCATGTCCTGTTGGTGGGTTTCTCAAAACCAGCTGGGAAAGAGGACATTGGACAAGAACCGGAAACTGCAATTAATCCAGAATGCGGCTAGACTGGTGACTGGGAGTGGCCGCCGGGACCACTTAACACCGGTCCTGAGAGATCTGCATTGGCTCCCAGTATGTTTCCGAGCACAATTCGAAGTGTTGGTGCTGACCTTGAAAGCCCTAAATGGCCTCGGTCCTGTATACCTGAAGGAGCGCCTCCACCCCCACCGTTCAGCCCAGACACTGAGGTCCAGCGCCGAGGGCCTTCTGGTGGTTCCCTCATTGCGAGAAGTAGGTTACAGGGAACCAGGCAGAGGGCCTTCTCGGTAGTGGCGCCCGCCCTGTGGAACGCCCTCCCTTCAGATGTGAAGGAAATAAGCAGCTATCTTCTTTTTAAAAGACATCTGAAGGCAGCCCTGTTCAGGGAAGCTTTTAATATTTAATGCTGTATTGTTTTTAACACTTGATTGGAAGCCGCCCAGAGTGGCTGGGGAAACTCAGCCAGATGGGCAGGGTATAAATAATAAATTATTATTATTATTATTATGGTTCAATCCAACAAGGCTTCCCTTAATCTCAGAATACAGCACGGAGGGTTTAGGTATCAACATGCCTAGCGTAAACAACCCCCTTCTGGATCTCAATCGCACCGGAAAACACAAAAATCCACTGCCTAGAAAGGCATTTTTCTACACATGGCATGCCTTCAAACTTCTCTCACACTATTTATGTGCACATGTCATATGGGATAGGAAGTGAAATATATATATATATATATAAATACACATTCTTAGCATTGCACATATTACCTTGGAATTACAGAGAGAGAAAATGCAGGCGCCAATGTAGTAGATACAATAATACCCTGAGACAAAACAGTCTCTAAGTAAACAAGGCCTTCCCAGATGGAAAGGCAAGGTTGAGCTTTATTGCATCATCTGACTCCTTTACTCATAATAATTACCCTGCCTAATCACGTCTTTGTAATCGGAAAGAAACCGTTCCCTTAGCCTACAGATTATTTAAAGGGCCTTTATGACGTGCTGAAAGATCTATTTCCTTTTGTGCCTTTTTAAAAAAAACAAAACAAAAGCAAAAGCCTAGTTCACCTGCCTGCTTTGCAGCAACACCTTGGAAATTCATAAAGAAGGTGGAGATAAAACGAGAGAGCAAAAACATCGATGCCATTTCACAACTGAGACTGGTCAGCTCTGAGCTTACAAATCCCATCAATGGGGGGGGGGCGGGAAATGTGTAATTTGATTGCTTGTATTGGAAACAACTTCCCACTCTCTTTCCCTTGGAATATCAAGCTTATCTGGAAGTCTACATTGGAAATAGAATGTAAGACCTTCAATAACAGTTGCTTATTATTTTCATTTTCATTTTGTTAGCTTATGAAGGACCGCCTCTCCACATATGAACCGACCTGGACCCTGCGATCATCTGCTTTGTGTGACCCAACCATGAGAGGTCTAGAGGGTGGCATCAGAAAAATGGGCCTTTTCTACATTGGCTCCCCATCTCCTCTCCCTAGGGAGGCCTGCCTGGTGCCTTCATTACACAACCTTAGGCGCCAGGCAAAAACAATCCTCCTCAACAAGGTCTTTGGCAGACTAAACAACCAACGGTCTTTTAAATGTGTTTGTGGGAGGGAGGGAGATTGGTTTGTGGCTTCTTTGGGGCTTTTTTTGTTATGCATTTTGTGTTCTCATTTTGTATTTGAATGCTGTAAACCGCTCTGTGATCTGCGGGTGGTTATAAATTTTAAAAGATAGTCTCCCCGTGAGTCACAAGGCCTAATTACAGGTAGGTAGCCGTGCTGGTCTGTCGTAGTCGAAACAAAATAAAAAAATTCCTTCCAGTAGCACCTTCGAGATCAACTAAGTTTGTTATTGGTATGAGCAATGGATCCAAACTACAAGAAAGAAGATTCCACCTAAACATTAGGAAGAACTTCCTGACAGTAAGAGCTGTTCGACAGTGGAATTTGCTGCCAAGGAGTGTGGTGGAGTCTCCTTCTTTGGAGGTCTTTAAGCAGAGGCTTGACAACCATATGTCAAGAGTGCTCTGATGGTGTTTCCTGCTTCGTAGGGGGTTGGACTCGATGGCCCTTGTGGTCTCTTCCAACTCTATGATTCTTTCATGTGCATGCACACTTCTTCAGATACCTCTTCTGAAGACGTGTGCATGCACACGAAAGCTCATACCAATAACAAACTTAGTTGGTCTCTAAGCTGCTACTAGTCACAAGGCCGTTTGCATGAAAACAACTCAAAATACAGCTAAAGATGAGGAGCGGACATATAACCATTCTACTGCCACAGGTATTTATTTACTTCATAAATAAATGAATTGATATACCACTTGTATACCACTTGTTAAAAAAACCTCAAAGCGGTTTACAAAACAAATAGAATAAAAAAATCATTGCTAAGAAACCCTACAACCATAATTTAAAACATACAGAAAGTTAACACCATAATAGAATAGACTAAAACGTATTAAAACTCATACAAACTTTCTAAGCATCTGGGTGCTTATCTATATATCTGGGTAGCATCTGGGTAGACATATCTTAATGTCTTCAGCAGGCACCGAAAATAATTTCAATAGGCAGGGAGTTCCAAAGTGCTGCCACACACAGTGTATTTTTTTCTATTGGGGATTGTTGAGATTATTATTGTTTTCTATTATTTTTAAATTAGTTTTATGTATTATGTGGCACCTGTAAAAGTGCCAATTCCGCCAACTGAAGCAGTCAAGTGGGCACATATGAGGTAAGGTGGTCTCATGAACTGGTCCCAAATGATTAAGACTTTTAGAAGACATCTGAAGGCAGCCCTGTTTAGGGAAGCTTTTAATGTTTGATGTATTACAGTATTTTAACATTTTTTTGGAAGCCGCCCAGAGTGGCTGGGGAAGCCCAGCCAGATGGGCGGGGTATAAATAATAAATTATTATTATTATTATTATTATTATTATTATTATTAACTTTTTATATTGATGGTAACTCCTTGAACTCAGCCTGGTAGCACATGGGCAACCAGTACAGGACTCTGAGCGCAGGTCTTATATGCTGAAGAGTCATCCTTCCTTTCTGTGGTCATCTTCACCACAAAGTGGCAGAGGTAACCAGAACCAGATGCTTTGCTATGAGGACAGAGCCACATCTTACAAGCCAAATCCTGAAAAACCCTCGGTGTGGAGGCTAGGAACATAGGAAGCTGCCCTAAAGTCAGACCATTGGTCCATCTAGTTTGGCATGGTCTTCAATGACCGGAAACAGCTCCCCAGGATTTCACATGGGAGTCCTTCCCAGCCATATTTGGAGATGGCAAGAACCGAACCTGGAACCTTCTGCATGCAGAGCAGGTGCTCTACCAGTGAGCTAGAGAACAGCTGCATAAATTCTTCTGGACAGCAAAGATCTCCTGCAAAAGGACGACTACAGCGCAAGAGGCAGCAGGAGCTCCAGTGCTAGCGCTGGCTGATCTCCCGGGTGGATGTCTTTCCACATATAGAAGGCAAAGTAGCACACAGTGACTCTGCTATGAGCTAAAGTCTACATTACACCTGGGCACTGCAACCCAAAATATTATGAGTGCCTTACATGCCAAGCACAGCAATGGCTTCTGGTATACTAGAGAGGGAGGCACTAATCTCCCTGCTGAGCTCTGCAAGTTGAGAAGACAGTAACTTGCCCAAGATCATCTAATAAAGTCCTGGACAGGCTTCTTAATTTAGCTGAATCTGTAACTAATCCTTTCCCAAGAGTTTGGGACTGATAAGTATTCCTGGAAACAGAATTGAAGGGTTGTATGAAAAAACTATTATTATTATTATTATTATTATTATTATTATTATTATTATCAAGCTTTAACATTAACATCTATCTGTTTAAAGTTCCTTCATGCCTTCTTCCAAAGAAGGAAGTTCTATAGCTCTTCCAAAAAGCACACGCGCTCATACTTTGACCTCTAGGTGAAGGGGCTTCCACAAAGGAGGGATGGCAACGTAACAGGTGCCCTTTGTGTTAGAACCTGGGTGGTACAGTCACACAAGCATTAGATCTTAAGTCTTCACCAATTCAAAGTTTTGGTGCTGACATTTAAAGCCCTAAACGGCTTCGGCCCTGTATACCTGAAGGAGCATCTCCACCTCCATCGTTCTGCCCGGACACTGAGATCCAGTGCCAAGGGCCTTCTGGCAGTTCCCTCATTGCGAGAAGTGAGGTTACAGGGAACCAGACAGAGGGCCTTCTCGGTAGTGGCACCTGCCCTTTGGAACAGCCTCCCACCAGATGTCAAAGAGAAAAACAACTACCAGACTTTTAGAAGACATCTGAAGGCAGCCCTGTTTAGGGAAGCTTTTAATGTTTGATGCATTACTGTATTTTAATATTTTGTTGGAAGCCGCCCAGGGTGGCTGGGGAAGCCCAGCCAGATGGGCGGGGTATAAATAAATAAATAAATAAATAATACAACACAAAAGTGCATTGCCTCTGCAATCCAAACTGCAGATGAGGCCCTCACGTCCTGCTTCCCCCCAGTGCCTAACCAGATGCTTCCCACATCTGGTTAGCCACTGGGGGAAAGAGGATCCTAGGCTAGGTCTGATCAAGCAATGTCTTCTTAACAATACCCCGTCCCCTGGTTGCCATTTGCGCACATACCAGGTTTTATCTATGTTGGCACAAAACTATGCGCTATTAGAAGCAAAGTACTTTAAAACAGACTCCTGCCAACCTAGTTCAAAAGCAAGTCCAAGTGCAAGTAGATAAATAGGTACCATTCCAGCAGGAAGGTAAACGGCGTTCCGATGTGGTTCACCAGAAGCGGCTTAGTCATGCTGGCCACATGACCCGGAAGCTGTACGCCTGCTTCCTCGGCCAGTAAAGCGAGATGAGCGCCGCAACCCCAGAGTCGGTCACGACTGGACCTAATGGTCAGGGGTCCCTTTACCTTTACCTTTATTTTAAAACAGAAGGAGATTCCCACCTATGTTATGCCCTTTCGTGATAGCCAAGACCAGCCCAATTTATTGTCTTAAGCGATCCCACCCACGTGCTACATTCAAACTGCAAGATCATGCCTGGGTCATACAGAGTAGCTATGGAACGTGTCTCTGCGGAAAATTGCACAACCCTTAGCATAGTTCAGAAATATCACTCAACAGTTTCCATTTGGACTGCCTGCGGGAGTGAAAGTTAAACCAACAAAGGGCAAAGACTTTTGGAACTATTATGACTTCATTGTTTTGACTAGATTTTAATTGGACCATAATGGTGCATTTTGTTACCCTCTCACTTAGCAAATCAACTCTGACCCATCCTATCTGCATTGAATCTCAGATGATGCTGATGATGATATGCATAGAAGAGTGCACACAGTCAATTATTGACCTTGTAACTGCAGCATCTGCCCATATGAGGAAAATGTCATTGATGAATTGCTTCCTTGGAGTTTTGATCAGATGCAGAAGATGCATGGTAAAATGTTCCTCACCACGTGCGCTACAGCTTCCAACATGTTTGCATGCTTCCGTATGAAACTGAGCAGCTTGACCCATTCCAGCCCGAGTTCACACCCACTTCTAACCAGAATCGTCCTTGGCTGCCCTGATGGATGACCTTTGGCAGATGGACAGGAAGAATTGAACCCTGCTGATTTTTCTGGATCTCTTAGCAGCTTTTGATGCTGTCGCCCATGATATCCTCCTTGACTGCATCTGTGAATTGGGTGCAGCATTTTACAGTGGTTTCACTCCTACTTACGGGGTTGGTTCCAGATTGAAGAATTGGATATTGTCTTGACACCCTTGAATTAATCTGCAGGGTGTCACAGGGCACAATTTCATGTCCAATGTGAATTAGTATCTAGACAAAACTTTAGGAGACTTCAGGTGAGCTGCGTTATCTGTATCTTGATAATATCCAGCCCTTTTCTCTGCAAGACCTGAAGTCTTGCATGTCCTCAGTTGATGCCTGAATATTACAGGCATCAAACTGCAACTGAACACTGGCAAGACAGAGAACCCCATGGATGGGCTGTTCTTGGGTCCAGGGATTGGACTGTGAGCTAGTTCTGGGTGGCAGGTGCTTAGTTTGGGGCTTCCGTGCCATTTCTGTTGTCTATGCTCTGTTAACTTCTGGTTTGGATTACTTCAGTGCATTAGGCACGAGGCTGCCTTTGAAGGGCCTCCAGAAACTCTAGCTGGTGCAGAATTCAGCAGCCAGATCACTGACTGGGGCAGTATGGTCTGAGCACCAGTTGTGGCACAACTGCACTGGTTACCAATTCTTTTCTGGGCTCAATTCTCAGTGCTGAATTTGACCTATAAAGCCTGATGTGGCACAGGACCCCAGGACCTAAAAGTCTGCCTCTCCTCACATGAACCAACCCATACTCTGTGATTGTCTTCCAAAACCCTTCATTTGCCCTCTCCTTGAGAGGTCTGGAGGGTGGCAACATAAGAACAGGCCTTTTCAATTGTGTCTCCCAACTTGCAGAATGCAAGTGCCTCACCCTTTTTCTAGCTTGTTCTGCCTCAAAGTCTGGTAGCATTTCTAGCTCCTTTGCAATCTCAGTAGCCTCTATCAAAACTTGTTGAAAAGCCTCATCATACCTGCAGCCCACAAGGTAACACTTGGTCACTTGCAATTGGCTTGGAGCTGAATTTAAATCAGATTCCTCATTTTGTAGGGATAAGAAGGAATACCACAAATCTGAACTTACAAATCGCATCAGCGAGGGCCTTGGATTCAATTTGGGAACTATTTCCAAGCAAAGCCTTTAGGCTTGTGTCATCAAAGATCTCTCTTAAAGCATCATATATACTACTAAGATGGTATCTCAGTGGTTTCAAAGCATCAGTCTGACTTTCCCCTCTTGTTTCACACAACGGCTTAATGGTTATGCCTAAGTCTGATACATGGCTAGTTAGAATTTGCCAATGCTGAATCGATGCAGAGAAATCGATGCAGAGAAATTAAAAATCTGTTGAACCAGCCTGAAGAAACTAGTTGCTTCCAGACAACGCTTGGCAGCATCATTGACTACCAAGTCTAAAGAGTGCGCATTGCAGGTCACAAAAAGGCACGTGGGTCTATGCCCAGGATTATCTTATTAAAACCTAACCTCCAATCAACTCTATGGTCTATTTCATACATGCATAAAAAAGAGTTCTCATATATACATTACTTCAAAAATGATAAAATTCTTCAAAATATAAAAGTCAAAATTTATGATGAATGTATAAGACATACCATATTTTTCGCTCTATAGGACGCACCCGACCATAGGACGCACCTAGTTTTAGAGGGGGAGAACAAGGGGGAAAAAAACCTCTCCCTCTCTGCGCAGCACCCCTTCAGCGAAGCGGCAGGAGAAACGGAGCCCCTTCCATTTCTCCTCCCGCTTCGCTGAAGGGGCGCTGCGCAGAGAGGGAAAGCTGCGCAGCGCCTCTCCAGCGAAGCGAAGCCAGGAGAGCAAGAGGGATCGGTGCGCACTTATCCCTCTTGCTCTCCTGGCTTCAGCGAAAGCGACGCGAAGCCTCCGGAGTGCGGCGGGAGCGCTCCCACTGCGCTTCGGAGGCTTTGCGTTGCTATTGCTGAAACCATGGAGCCTGCATTCGCTCCATAAGACGCACACACATTTCCCCTTAACTTTTGGAGAGGAAAAAGTGCGTCTTATAGAGCGAAAAATACGGTAATAAAAACAAATCTGTATAAAACTGTGCCTCTCAAAAGTCAGTACTGAGCCCCTCTGAGGTCTCTGCCTGAGACAGCTGCCTTGTTGGCCTAATGACAGCACGGACCCAATTTACTCCACTGCTGAAGGATCTGCACTGGTCCCCTATTAGCTACCAAACCAAGCACCCGGTTTTGCCTGTAGACATTTAAAGCCCCAAACGACTTGGGACCAGGACACCTAGCAGCTGACCTCCCCCAGTAGACCAAGCTGATCTTTGAAGACATTTTGAGGTGGCTCGTGATCTTTTGAGAGATTTCGCGGTTGCTCAGCACAGAAGCAGGTCTTTCCTCTGCTCATTCATGAGGCGGAGAAAGTAATGACCTTTAAAAGCCTCTTAAAAGCTTATATATTTGCCCAAGTTTTCCTTGACTCCAACTCTTTCTTTCTTTTGTTTTGTACACTGCTCACAAGTATTTGTGAGACACACTTGTGCTTTTAGAAAATTTTATTGAATGTTGTTGTTGTATCTTTATTGTTTTTTGGGATGCATTTTAATGATTGTTTGTTTTTATGTATATTGTGTTTTTATATGATGTAAGCCGCTCTGAGCCCAGCTCCGGCAGGGGAAGGCGGGATACAAATAAAATTTATTATTATTATGTTGTTGTTGTTTTCATGGAAGAGTCTAATGATTTTTATTATATTA